TCGCGCGATCGTCGCGCGATCGTCACGCAATTGGATTATCAGAGTCGGATGCCATCGCGCGTGAGTAGATCGGCCAGGTAAACCGTGTTTAAGAAAATTACAGCGAGCAGATCAGCGCCTGAATCATTGAAATCCTTTTACACGCTCGGTATTGACTATGCTCCCCGTGGCCGTGCCTAGTAAAACTAAGTTCAAAACATCGCATTACGAGCTACCATCATCGAATTCCATCATCTCTTTTCTCTTACTCGCAATTAGTATTTTAAGCATAGTTAATTTCAACGTACTTCCACGTCTTAAATCAAGCAGTGTACTCTTTCTTTTATTATTAGACTGTGGATTTTGGTGTATTTTTTAACTTTCAGAAATATAATTAATGAAATGGAACTTACTTTAGATATTTCATATATTTTTACACATCTTTACATCGCGTGTATCCTTACACCTTTAAAATTTTCATAGATACGTAAAGATCATTGTGTAGATCATTTTCTATTTCTCATCCGAGCTTGATTGGACTAACTTCGTTACAAGATTTTGATATCTAACATTGCATGCAATTATTCGATTATTGTTGTTTTTCTCAACAATATATGTGAAAATATAATATAATCTCTTAAAAAAAGGGCTGAACCCATTAATAAATTAAAATTAAATTAAATTTCAAACAATGCGTTGGCTGCTTGTTCGTTTCCATTTGCAACGAGCATTTCACAAAAATCCGGTGTTGCAATATCACGTCCACTCTTCGTGAGAATCGATTTTTCTGTCATGATTCTTTCAGATACGAACTCCTTCGAGTTCCGAATATGAAACGAATTAAGAAAGAAAGAAGAGAATTATCTACTCTTGAGAGACTGCAGAATCGTTACGGAATCCTCTCGTTTTTATTTAAAATTAACAATGGTGAAATCGATTGGACACGATTCAATGGGACACGATTAAATACTATTATATTGCTATGAAATATCGTTTCAAATGATAATCTTGATCGTGAGTA